CCTGCAGGATCCTGCAGGATCCTGCACCCAGGCCCGTGTCAGTGCAACCCTGGCCCTACAGGATCCAGCAAGATCCGGCGCCCTGGCTGACCCCGTTTGCATTGACCCCCGTTAGGGGGCCACACGCGAACCCTACCCCTACCCCCCACGATTTCTGAGGGGGAGGGTGGGGTTCACTTCGTTTGAAAGCTCCCGAGCGAAGTGAACCCCACCCTCCCCCTCAGAAATCGTGGGGGTAGGGGTAGGGTTCGCATCTGGCCCCCTACCCGTCTCTTGCCTGGGGCGCGCGGACATGGATTGGCGATCCACGGGTGTGGCGCGCGGTCGCCAGCGCCAGGAGCTCTGCCGCCGCGGCGAGGCTTCCGAGATGCTCCAGGCGGGCCGCACCCGGGAAGGGGGGATATTCAAAAATGGTCAAAAAAATAGTGTGGGAACTATTTTTTACAAGTTTTGAAAATTTGTCTTGGCATGTTTGATTTTTTTTTTTTTTTCGTCCAAAATCGCCCTGTAGGGGGACATGCCCGACTTAAGAGATGCTGGCGAGGGAGGGCGAGGAGGCGCGAAGGGACGGGTCTTCTCGGAAGGCTCGGAAGGCCCCCCGCCTCCTGAGAAGTGTGCGGAGCCTTCCCCGAAGATCCAAAGAGCTCCTCAAAGGCCGGAGGGCCTCTGAGAAGCCCCGCCGCCTTCTGAGAAGACCTTCTCCTTCACCCTTCCCTCCTCTGTCGCTGCCGGTGGATGGTTGCGCTGAGCCTGGGGACCATGGTCTTAGAAGGCAACTCCAGGCGGGTCATAGCCAGAACGGATAAAAGAGATTACGCAGGCCGGATTAAGCCTGGTATGAATCCGAATTTGGCGTGATCAAGCCGGATTAAGCAGGATTGAGCCAGATTGAGCTGGATGGCGCTAGATTTGGCAAATTTTCGACAAAGGGATAGCGCCGATTCTGAATTCAACCTCCAAAGATTGCATCCTCAGTAGTTCGCAACCGTGCCTCTGGGCACGGAGTGGGCGTGCCATCAGGTCCTTTCCCTAATCCGTTCAGCCTCAATCCTCACTCTTGAGGAGCTTCTTAGCTGCCCGACCCCAAATTTTCAATCTCCCGGGGGTACAGCGGCTTATCGGGGGCTTCCCGCATCTCCCACCGTGACTTCTTCAGGACCAAGTGTGCCCCAAGACAGGCCAAGAGAGCACCAAGAGATTCCTAAGATGGTCCAAAAATGGCTTCGAGACGCCTGAAGATCGCTCCACGACGCCCAAGATGGCCCCAAGACGGTCTAAAAGGCCTCCAAGACGCCTCCAGAGGCGTCCAAGAGTCTTCCGAAGATGGCCCCGAGAGGCAACAATCATTGATTTTCCATTGGTTTTTGAAGGATGTTGGCCATTCTCGCCTTTTCGGCTTGCCGACGCTCCAATGAGGCCCCCGAAGACCGCCCCAAGACGGCCCAAGAGGCCCCCAAGAGGGATCCAAGACAGCCCAAGAGGCGCCCAAGACGGCCCAAGAGGGCCCATGGACGTCTCCAAGAGGGGTCCCAGATGGGGAACCCGAATGGATGTTTCGAGCCCTCGGCCCCGAGGGGCCCCCAGGAGGCCCCAAGACGCCCCCAGGAGGCACCAAGACGCCTCCAGGAGGCCCCAAGAGGCCACCAAGAGGCTCCCAAGATGCCCGCAAGTCTGCCCCAAAACTGCCCCCAAGAGGCCCCGAAAGCGCTCAGAAGATACCCCAAGAAGCATCCCTGAGAATCCTATCACAACCAGGACCCGGTGGCGGGATGCGCCGAAGGCCATTAGATCAAACGCCGAACGCCACGCCAAAAAACGCCGTCCTCTCGCCAGCACTCCGCGAAGGAAACGGCGAATTCCCGGATGGTGGAGAAGAACTTCTCCACCGCGCCGTAGGACTCTTCGTTCCAGCCGCCTGTCGGGGGAAAACAGAGAAGACTACTAATACAGCCGAAGTCTTGCAGAGTCTTGCTGTAGAAAGCTCAACCGGGATCGAATCCATATCACGCCATAAGAACCGAAGGAAGCAACATCAATATCAGAGCCACGTCCAAATTAAAAACGGCCATTCTTACAACGTGTTGGCTATAGTGCCATGCCCATCAGGCGGCGCCTGGGCTCACTGCTCCGCGGTACATCATCACTCATCCCGCCAGGTCTTACCCCCCCCTTTCCTCATGTTCCTCCACCTTCCTGTATTGTTCCTCCTCCGCGACCTCATCCTTCTCGCCGCCCATCTTCTCCGAATCATCCTTCTCCTCATCCCCCTTCAGCCTCCAACTCTTCTTCCGCTCCATGTGTTCTCTCGAGATGGACCCCCACAACTCTCGACCCCATGAGTGGGACTGGTTTTCTGCCGCTGGCTGTTTTTGATGGCTGTTGAGCCCGAAACTGGCCCATGGTCCTGGGACACCGAAAACGTGAAACAACAATGCGTCTTGACGGTTTGCCAAGACGTTGGAGATCTGGGCTCGGGGGTCAAAAACCGGTTCCTTGGCCTCTCCCGACATGTGCTCTTGCCAGAGCTTTCACAGGGAATCGGCCAGACGACGAGTGCAGCCAAAAAGCTCCGAGAACCGGACGGTGGTGCAGGACCGATATCACTGCAACCTCAGGCCAGATGCCACTGAAATGCCCCGATGTGAATATCGGAGCTGCCAGCCCTAGCACAAGAAGTTGAGCCGAATTGGCCATGGAGAGGTTCGGGACGGGGTCTGCAGATCCCCGCAGGTCCCTGGAAGTCCCCACAGGCCTCTCAAAGGCCTCCAAGAGGACCCGAAACACCAAATACTCTCTGCACACGATCCTCGACCATCGAGGGTCAGAAGGAGGCGGCGGCGGCGGAGGCTGGAAGAACCCCCCTGTTCACCACTCCCCTTTTTCGTCCGACTCCGTCCAGGGACCCCCTCTCTCCATGGCGAGGGGGGAAGGAAGGAGAAGACGCGTGGACTGAACGCAAGAGTGGCCCTGGGCAAAAAAGTGACCACCTCTGGTGCGCAGCTCCTGTGGGGGGCCACTGGCGGTGGGACAGGTCCAAGCGCGAAAGCCACTGCTGGGGGGGGGGACCTGGAGAACGTTGTTTGTTTCGAGATGACGGCCGTTACTGGCTCCGCCCCCCACCCCTGGTGACGTCACGTTTCGTACTGACGCCGTCTGAATGCGTAGGAAGAACAGGTAAAGCTCAAATCGCCAATACCAAGAATGGGACTTGCTATTGGCTGAGCGCGAAACATGCTATGGATATGCAAATACATGCGATGGACAGCCACGGGAGGCTAAGCAAAATGTAGGGAGTGTTGCGAATAGAATACGGTGTTGATTCGTCCTCTCACTTGCCTCTTCGGCTCCCTACAACTATCCGTCCTCCTCTCCTTCCTCTTCCTGTTCCTCCTCCTCCTCCTCCTGCTCCTCCTCCTCCTCCCCCTCATTTTCCTCCTCCTTATCCTCCTCTTCCTGCTGTTCCTCCTCCTTCCTCCTCCTCCTCTTCCTCCTCCGCTTCTTCCTCTTCGTCTCGTCGTCGCAGTCCTCCTCGTGGCAGAGCAGGGTGCTTCACGCTGTGGCACAGAACGAGGGAGGGCGTCGGAAGGAGGAAGGGGACAGGGCAGGCGGGGCCAGGCCGAAGCGACACGTTTGATTACACTTCTGTCATCGGCACGCGCTCTGGGAAAAGTGTGGGCGCCCCTCGGCCCGAAGGGGGGGAGTGGCCTCGTCGTCGTCGTCCCCCCTTGTTCCTCCTCCTACTCCTTCTCATGCCGTCCTATATCGTCCTGGCTGCTTTGCAAACCGCTTCAGTGCACGACAACGTGCGCACCACATCGCTGGGGGCGCACCCGGGGTGTGCGGAATGGCGTAAGCCCATGAGATGCACGCGTGCCTCTTCCAGCTCGGAGTGCCGGGATCGTCTGCAGAATTGGTTTACCCCAAAATTGTTGTTTTGTTCTCGCCGAGTCCTACGCAGGAGGTTTGTAGATCTGCGAACGTTCTACGCATGTCTGATGGATTCGGCGAGAAAATCCGTGTGGGGGTAAATCCATTATGTAGTCGATCCCCTACTCGAAATGTTGGATGATGCCAAGGCAGCGCGAGAAAGTCTGGGGGGGAAGCCCACCGCCTCGCCGCAAGAGGCCACTCCTGGGAGGTCTTTGTCGGAACGACGAAGGGCTCTTCCTAAGCCCGATTCATTGGGAAACCCCCGCAAAGGACGTGCATGAATACGGCCCCCCCGTCCGCGAGACCTGCCTGGTAGTACGAACATTCGCGCACTGCGCACTTGGGAAACCCACATGATTTTAATGCAGGTGTAAGTCCTTCTCTCGCTCCTGATTTTCATGGGCTACTGAGCAGGATCAGGCCAGATTAAGAATTAAGCCGGATTAAGCAGGTCTGAGCCAGCGTAAGCTGGATTGCGCTAGATTGGGCCAGTTCTCAGTGATATACCAGCGCCAATTCTGAATTCAACCTCCCAAGAGATACATCTTAACACGCCGACGCGGCCATGGAGTCGGAATCGGCATCGAATCGGCCGCGCCAGGATGCACAACATCGCCAGGCAAGCATCGGCCCGCATCGGATCGTCGGAATATCGGAATCGAATCCGATCGGGCCTGCCGAATCGGTATCGAATCGGATCGAAGTGGACCTTGCCCGCTGAATCCCGATTCACGTGGCTTTCGGGTCAGAACTCGGCTCTTCGGCGGCAATTCGGGTCGATCCTGGCACCCCCGGAACGCCATCGGCGAGGCGCAGCTGCTGGAGCGCGCCCCGATGCCCGAAAACGTCCAGGAACCGACAGGAACTTCCGAAACCGCCAGTAGCGCATGGGATCGCTCTGGTCGAAGTGCCGATGCCCGGAAACGTCCAGGAACCGACAGGAACTTCCGAAACCGTCGGCAGCGAGTGGGATCGCTCGGGCCGCAGCCGCAGCCGCAGCCGCAGCCGCAGCCGCAGCCGCAGCCGCAGCCGCAGCCGCAGCCGCAGCCACAGCCACAGCCGGGCCGACGTGGGCCCCGACACGGCCCGCCGAGCGGCGCCACGGCCCGCCGAGAGCGGCGCCCCGCGGGGGGCGAGGCGGCCGCGGGGCGGCCGCGGGGCGGCGGCCTGGAGGCCCCCCGCGCCGCTCGCCGAAGTACTGCAGCAGGCCCCACCTCGAGCCGGGGGGGCGAGCGGCGGGCACCGCGCGCGGCGGCGAGCTTCTGCTGCTGCCTCCGCACGAAGGCTGAGGTTGGGCCTGTCCCCCTACGGGCGGATTTGGGGCGAAATATTAAACATAAGTGTATACATATATATGTGTATATATATAGTATTGATATATATATATATATATATATATGTATACACATACAAATCAAAATAACTTGGAAATAGTCCCCAGACTGTTTTCTTTGACTATTTTTGAATGTTCCTCCTGTAGTCCTGTAGAGGGAGAGGCCCGATTTAAACGAAGGCCCAGGGGTGAGAGACTGCCAGGCTCCCTCCCTGGCGAAGAGGGGGGCTCCGCCGCGCCTGGAGCAGGCCGACGAGGCGGGAGGAGGGGGGGGGAAGGGAGGCGAGAGGTCGAGATGTCTGGCGGCCTCCTCCTGCCTCGCCTCTGCCTGGGACTGGAGGCCTCCCCGTGGACCCGGGGGCCACCGGAGACCCCCCCCCAAATCGAGGAAAGAACCGAACCGAGGAAAAACACAGACCGAAGAAAAACCCAAACCGATGAAACAAGCACGGGATATAAAAAAAACAAACCGAAGAACACAACAATTTGGGGGGGCGCTCGCGCGCGCGACGGTGCGGCGGCGCGGGCGGGGAGCGCCCGATGGCGCTGCGCAAATACAAGAAAGAGAGAGCGAGAGAGAGAGAGAGACGGAGGGAAAAGAGAGAGAGAGAGAGACAGAGAGGGAGTGGCGACGCTCTGGCAGGGAGGGGGCGGGAGAGGGAGACAGAGAGAGAGAGAGAGAGAGCGCCCGAGGGCGCTGCGCAAGCAAAAGAAGAGAGAGAGAGAAAGAGAGAGAGAGGGGGGGAGGGAGGGAGGGAGGGAGGGGGGGGGAGGGAGGAGCGAGAAGGAGCGAGAGGGAGCGAGAGGGAGGGAGGGAGAGGGAGAGGGAGGGAAAGGAGGGGGGGCAGCGACGCCCCGGCAGGGCGGGCAGGGCGGGCGGGGCAATTCGGCAGAGGCTCGCCGCGGCCACGCGCCCGGCCCGGGCCCACACGCCGCCCCGGAAGCACGTCGGGCGTGTCCCCCTGCAGGCGGAGCTTGGACGAAACATGCGCATAGAGAGCCCCAAAAGTTTACAAAAATGACCAGAAATGGCCCAAAAATCGTCCCCTGACTATTTTTGTCAATGTGTGTGAATCGATCCCGAAGCCCAAAAGCGTGTTCAACATGAGTTATCAAGCAGCGTTCCCGATGCCAGAATCACAAATAATAAACCAGATTCGCGCCCCCGACGCCGAACACACAGTAAATCACACCACTTCGCGCCCGCGAAGCCAGACCCCCTCGTGTAAATTGCGCCAGGCTCGCGCTTCCGATAATTCCAGATCCTTTGTATGTTACAGGAGGTTCGCGCTCCCGAGGCCAAAATCCTCGTTTAAGTTGCACCAAATTCGCGCCCGCGAGGGCAGAGTTCTCTTGCCACTTACATCCAAATGCGCGGCGATACCCCGCAAATTACGCCAGAGCCTTGCTCCCGGGGCCGCGATCCCATGGAAAATACATAAGCTGTTCGCCCTAAGAAGGAAACAAAGCGTTCAGCAACGACCTCAACATCTCAAGGTGCGTGCTGAATGCCGAACACCAACGCATGAGGTTCCCAAAGTTTTCAAAACCGCGCCGACACGTCCCAGTATAGTTCTGGCATCTCAAGTTCTGATACAATAGGACCTCGACCACAAGAAACCTTCTACAAGAAACCCAGCCCCGAGACACCAGGACGTCCATCGATTGTTGGTGCGGGAACGTCACGCTTTTTATCGCAAGACTCTCGAAACCAAAGAAACCCAGGGCACCCTGGAGGCAAGCAGAGTGTTTCCAGGCATGCGTCTCCGCTGTAGAGGAGGGGGCTGGCTGCAGAGGGTGAAGCCCTTACGGATAACCCGTCCTGGCCTGGCCAGGGGGGCATGAAAACACCGCTCCTGGGCCAAAAAACGGGGAGATGCATAGATCCCGTCGCCCTACAAGTGAGATCGGGCCCTCTCCGCCCCGCCTCCCTCAGATCGGATGTCCCAAGACCGTGCGGTAATGGTCCGTGCGGCGACCACCCTGGAATCCCACAAAGGTCTCACCGCTGGGTCCGTCACCGCACGGTCTGGGGACCCTGGAGGCCTCAGTCGCCTGAGACGTGCTCGGAGAGCGACCCAGGTTCAAAACCGTGCAGTCGCTCCGAATCCCCACTGACTCACCCCACGGTGTGGTCACCGCACCTTCCGGGCGCCCCCGAGGAAGACTCGGGTCAGACGAGAAGGGACCTGGCGAGACGAGCGCCGAAGTCGCGCGCGCTCCGCCAGGGAGCCTGCTAATGCCCAATAGATATAGGGCATGGCGTGGCGGCATTAGCCTCTGTAATGAAAGTGCGTATCGAGATCAATTTCCGTCTGGTCTGGCCAAGAGTGACGTTGTCAAACCACCGGTGGGCTGCTGCTGTCGTCGTCGTCAACGCCGAAATCGTGGAATGCGGGCCGAAACTGGGAGCGTGAGCCTGAAAATGGGTCGGCCGAAAAGGAGGGGAGTAAAACGGCAAAAGTAGCGAATCAACTCACGCAGCTGGTTCTCCCGGTGCATTCTGGCGCACATGTGAGGCGCCCGTGCATCGAGGACACTGCGTGGCGGCGGGACCAAAACCAGCTGCACGCAGCAGATTTAGTGTTAAGTCAGGCGTGTCCCTCTACAGGAGGAATATTCAAAAATAGTTATATGTTTTTACTATGTTTGAGCATGTTTTGACAATTTGGCATTTTTCGCCCACAATCCGTGTGTAGGGGGACACGCCCGACCTAAACTTAGTGACCCTCACTTGCCCAAGCCCCCTTCGCCCTTCCCACCTCCTGAGACGAAGCCAGGACGCAGTTAAGCTCGGAAAGCCGGCGGGCCTCGAGGGCTCATCGGGCGACACAGCCGCTCCAGAGCGCTCCAGAGCGCTCCGAGAGAGCGCTCCAGAACGCTCCGAGAGCGACTTTTCGAGGATGGAAAACGTGGTTTAGTAAAAACGACCTCGGGCCCAGACCTGGCGGGCGCAAGCCTGGACAGCGACGGCCGCGGAGCCCTCCCGAGAACCGAAAACGAACGATTCACTAATCGACGTGTCAGGGTGGGGGTTCTGTCCAGCGCCCCGGCTTTGGGAGGCCGCCCGCGTGGGGTCCGCGCAGCACCGCCGATGCATCGCCGATGCATCGTGACGTACGCTGGCGTGTAGAATGGAACACCGCGGGCCCCGCACCGAGCCGACTCGCCGGTGCCTGTCTCGGCGAAAATCGGCGCGAGATGCAGCGGCCCCGCCCACGTCGACCCCGGGCGGCCTCGAGAGGCACTTTCGTCCCACAAACAATGGCGCTGCAGTGGGGGCCCGATCACAAGCATAGGGGAACACGAAACGACAGAAGCATAAACTGTTGGCGCTCCGCGCAGATATCTCTTGGATCTGCGCTGGCCCCCCCCCTCCCTGGCGCGCGGAACGTGCCAGGGGCGACGCAGGAGGCGCCGCCAGAATGGGCCAGCGCGGATACAAGAAATCCGCTCGGAGCGCCAAAAAGTTTATGGTTATGTTGTTTTTGTTCTTCGAGAGAAACCGTCCACAAGAAATTTAACCCTGAGACCTCAGGACGTCCACTTGTTTTTGGTGCGCGAAAGTCGCGCATTGCACAGCAAAACCCTCGATACCCAAGAAACCCAGGACACCCTGGAGGCAAGCAGGGTTTATTGGCATGGTTCTCCACTGAAGCGCTCGTGACCAGCCCCCCCCGAACCTGGTCACGTCACGATTCGCGCCGTCTGGAAACGCGCCAGTCCTCCGCATTCCCAGACGGAAGCCCCTGGTCACAAGCCCCCCGGCCAAGGGGAGGGCAGGTCCGAGGGAGAGACGCAGCCAGAGCGCAGGGCTGCGCCCGAGTCAGGAGCGGAGAGGAGAGCGGCCAAGATGGCAGGAGCAGCGGACAGCCCGCGATCGAGGTCGCATACTTACGTGTCCGCCGAGGTCGCCCTCCAGAAAAAGAAAGGAGGAGGAGGCGCTTCGAGACGGCTACCGACAGCGGCCGCTGTTGGGCAGGCGGCCTTCTGGCTCAAATGGACAACGTCCGCGGCGACACCGACAGCGAACCCAATTCAAAATGAACAGGAATTTCTGCCGGTCCTTGTAGCCATTATTCCCGTACCCATTTCCATCGCCCCGAGCAAGAAAACGGATCAGGATGAAGAGCCAGCCCCCAGCCCTGGGGCCCCCGTCACAACCCAGAATGCGGCGTCGGAGGAGATTCTCCGACCCAGACCCCATGTCATGATTTTTTCAGGACGTCGACCCCAGGAAGTCGCGCCCATTCCCCATGATTGGTTATCATTCCTGAATGGTTGTTTGACGGTCCCGAGGTCAGGGAGGGGCCCCCCGAGTCCGAGAACAGATAAAAAACGCCCCGTCGCATGTTTGTTGCTCATGATTTCAGGGGGTCTGGGGCAGCCAAAAGGTACCGATACCGCTACTCCCCAGACCTCTCCCGGGGTGCGTTCCGACCAAGATTTCGAGGCGAACCAAGCGGTGGCGACGAGGGCCTCCCAGGAGGCCGAAGAAGGGGAACAACGGGCGAAGGGCAGCGGCGTGGGTGCCTTTTCCTCTCCTCGAGGAGGGCTGGAGGTAGAAGCCTCGCGCGCACGCGCGCCCGAGGCCCCGGCGCTTCGTTGAGCGCGTCGCCAATCTCGCCCTCGAGGCCCCGCGAGAGCTCGCCCGCGTCGTCCACGAGGCGCTGCAGCGACTCCAGGGGGCCCGGGCCCTCGGGCGGCGTGCCGGCCTGCCTCGGGGCGGAGTCTGCT